TTGCTTAAATTATTACAAAGAGTATTACATATTTCTCCTTTTTTTCCCCTGCCCTTGACAATTCCCTGGCCTCCCCTACCCCCCAGTGCCTTATGTCCATTGGTTATGCTTATATGCAATATCTTAAGTGAAGGTATTTGGGCAGGGAGCCCATGGTATTCTTTCGTTGCTAATATTCTGGAAATAAGTGGACTTGGACACCTGGATCCAAGTCTCCCTTTGCCAGTTGCCAAGTGTTCTGGAGAGCCAACTGCACAAAGAAAAACTTGTCATTCTTCACATACACATTGACGGGTTGGGTCTTTGCATGCATCTCAGTGAGAAAGTCATCGGTACAAGCCATTCTCTCAGGTAGCTTAGCCTTTAAAGTTCTTTAACAAAAGAAATCCAAGGATGACAGAAGTAAAGTTTCTCAATGTCTTTGGAGGCTTTATATAATGACCTTGCTGAATAGGACTTCCCTCTTTTATAATTGGTAGAACTTTTTACAAAGAAAGATTTATCCATCTAAGTAAAAAAGTTGGCCTTATTAATACCAGTGGAAACATACAAAGTATAATCTGCCAGGCCAATGCCACATGTCATAATGATGAAAGGAGTTTTGTTCTACTGTTGAGAATTTCACCATGCTGGCCCCAGGTGCTGACATAGGAATTATAAGACTAACAGATAGAATGAAGTAAATAAAATTCAGAGTCAATCTAACTTCAAAACAACGACAGAAAGGAAGGGTTGATAAATATTTCTTAGAATAACATTGCATAAACCTTCCTTCCCTTTGGGCTGGAAACTCTTATTGTCCCTGAGGAACGGGGAGTGAGAGGTAAATAAGCCCACTGTGGTACTAGCTTACTTCATTCTACAAACAGATTTCCATGCTTATGTGAGAAAAATCCTTGCTATTTCCATTATTTTATCAAATCTTTCTAATTTCCAAGCTGCCTAGTCCCTTCATTAATTTTTCTACATATTCAATGTACTGAATTGAATTAAATGGATTTGTTTTTGTTGTATTGGCTTTTCTCTTCTACAACTTGGCTTAGCTTTTGAGTCCCAAAGTATCATCCAATAAAAACTAGGAAGTGTTACTAATTTCTCCCTTAAATACTCATACTAGAGGTACTTTAAGGAGCCATCATGCAGTTTGCACCTTCTGTGATTAATTTTACAAGATTCACAACTTAGGAAACAATAGATTTAAATATTTGAATATGCTTGCTTTGTATTTGTCATCTAATAATTTAAACTCTGTATATCACAACTTTTGAAGGTTAAAATAGTTCCAAATAATTAGCTCCTCTAAACCAGTGGTTGTCAACCAGGGGCAATTCTGCCATCAGGAGACAATTGGTAATGTCTGGAGACTTCTTTTGATTGTCACCAGTGGGGGAGGAACATTTAGTGACTAGAGACCAGGGATGCTGTTAAACACTCTAAAATACACAGGACAACTGCATACAGAAAGAATTATCCAGCCCTCAATATCAGTGGTGCAGAGGCTGAGAAATATGACTTCTAACTGAGTAATCAGAATTTGTACTGATTACTACTTCCTCCAGAAATTAAGTGAATTACTCCTCATTTTCTCAAGCTATGAGACTATACTGAAGCTTCATGAATGTGGTAGGAAAAAAAATGTGGGTTGCAGCTTTAAAAAAGTCAATGCACACTGGCCTTAACCTATGCTGTTCAAAATGCAAAGAGAAAGTATTTTGTTTGTAGACAAGTACTTACTCTTGGCTTGACAATCTGTTTTGTCTAAGATAAAGAATAAGCTCATCAGTGAGATACTGCTGCAGTCTTTATCCTCCCAGACACTCAACTCCCATGCCAAAGGAAGAACTAGCTTCATTTTTTATAATGAAATTCATTTCCCCTAGCCATTCTCATTTTTTGCATAATTAATTATAACTGCTCATTGTTAGCACTGCAGAGCCTCATCAATATCAGCATAATTACTCTCTTGGTATCAATTAAGATTTCTGATGTTTGTCAAAAAGCACTGCAGTTTGAAGCTGTCCATGCTGAAGTGAAACAGAGAGGTATCTATCAGCTATAAACAGTGCAACTCAGAGTGTGTCCCTTTAAAAAAAGCAATCCATCATGCATCTCATTAGAGAGCAATTTGCTGCATTTGAGATTTGTCACTAAATCGCCCTGGAGCAGCAGGGTATTCCTCTGAGAAATGGTCGTTTGGCAGCAATCCAGACACATAGTACATATCTAGCAGGTTCCATTACCTTTGCAATTTGCTATCCTTAATATCATCAGACAAAAGTGTACCCTTAAACTTCCCCTACTACTTGACTTTGTACAATCCTAATCACTTTGGCAGCGTGTTGGAAAGCTGATGCATACCAGCTTGCAGAACTCCGAAACCAGGGGGGCAGCTCCTATGCTTCAAGCAGAACTCCAGCTCGAGGTAGCGCCCTTCTTCGCATTCGCACACGCGGTTGTGGGTGCGGTTGCACTCCTGCTTGACATACTGCAGCTCTTTGCACGCTGTGTTGCAGTACAGACACTCATCACTGGTGTGCCAGGTGTTTGTGTAGTAGTTGTCAGGACAAGGGGCACACACGGTCTTCCGCCGTGCTGTACAGTGCTGTTTTAAGTAGGTGCCAGGGGGACATTTATCACACATCAGCTGGCGAGAGGTGTCTGGGTCATAATGAAGGTACTTTGGGGGAAATATTTCTTGAGTGGTCCATTTAATGGAGATGTCCAGGAACTAGAAGAAAGGAAATAGTGGCAGTGTCAGCATGGAAATAGGGTGGTTCCTTTGTGCAAAGGCATCGCAAGAATCAAAGAGTCCTTTATGAACTTCCTACCTGCTGAGCGGCACAACAAGGTAAGTTCAGAGGCCGCAATTCTTGCCTCTATTCGCTTAATCTCAAAGACCAAGATGGGGATGGCAGCACATCTATATTAAGTAAATTCAGCTCATAGATCACTGGAGTAGAAAGCTTATCAGAATAGAAATTATTACAACTAGCTGTATCACTAAATAACCCTCGTGGCCTCAAAGACACTGTATCTCCCTGGTCTTCATGATTTTCTCTAGATGATTGAGTTGGATGAACTAGTGGTTCTCAGAAGAGCATACCGTACCTCTTCTAAGACTTAATGATTCCAAACATATAGTAAGTAAAGAGGTGGAGAAGTACAAAGTTTGTATCATGACATCAACAGTCATCCTGATCAATGCATTCATTCATTCATTCCACAGATAGGCATTGAATGCCTACCAGGAATGTACCAGGGAGATGCTGGTGAGTGAGGCATGGTCCCTGTCCCCATAGAGCTTGCAATCCACTGGAAATAGTCCTAGAATTTTAAAACTGATATTTCCTCTAGAACATCAATGGCCCAGTCTTGACTCTCACAGGTCAATTGTGTCTAGAAAACTAAATGACTACCTCTCTTCTGGGAAAAACTTCAGAGAGTAGGTAGGGTTTCATAAGTATCCATACATATGACAAGAAGAATTCTGTGCAGAAAGAGAAAAAAAAGACGATTTTTCAAGCTTGGGAGGGCAGCTCCAACTAAGCAGTCCATCTTGTGTTTTAGACGCACAGGTCTTCTAGGGAGCATTGACGTAGCTCAGAAGGAACAGTGTTCTTTGTATGTAGGGGATGGTTTGTTTGCTTTTTATTATTTGTTTTTGGGAAAGGGATCAACACTGACTATTTTCATGCTTTTGGGAGGTGACAGGCCAAACACAGTAAATTTTTCCAAACTCTTCTTTGCAGAACTCAGGAAATGTCACAGAAACCCCTTGACCCAGGAAAAGCATGCAAAGCTAAGGAAACAGCACTCGCTGTGGAATTAGAGTGACAAAGGTAAAGAATGGCCTCTTTTTTAATAAGCATTTGGGCATTTTAATCTGAGTAATTTCATTCACTTCTTATTGCAACACAACAAGCATCAGGGCTGAATGGACCTGATGTCAGCTGATAAACTAGAAGAAGAGAACAAAGTATCTCACTTAGGGCCATTCACGTTTTATCCAAGAGAAATTTTCGGAGTGCTATGACGTTAAGGACTCCTAACCAACAAAACATAGAGTACCGTGCAAAATGGGGATGACACCTCATAACCTGAGGTTTACTGAGGAAAATGTTCTTAAATTTTCCCTTCCTTCCTCCCTTCCTTCCTTCTGTCCTTCCTTCCTTCCTTCCTTCCTTTCTCTCTTTATTTTAAATTTAAAAATTTTTAACATTGACACTAGATGTCCCCAACCCCACCCCCACTTTGTCTACCTCTACCAGCCCTGGCTCCCCCTCCCTTGGCCTTCAGCACCAATTGTCCAAGTTCATGGGGTATGCACATATGTTCTTTAGCTAATCCCTTCACCTCTCTACCCAGTCACCTCTCCTTCTTCCCCTCCCCCGCCCCGCCTCTTCTCTGGCACCTGCCAGCCTATTCCATGTATCCATGCTTCTAGTTCTATTTTGTTCATCATCTTATTTTGTTCATTAGAGTCCACATATTAGTGACATTAGTGAGATCAGATGGTATTTGTCTTTCTCTAAAGGGCTTATTTTGCTTAGCATAATGCTCTTCAGGTCCATCTATGTTGCTGCAAAGGATAAGAGTTTCTTTTCTTTTTCTTGGCTCATTTGGAGTGGGTGGACATTAGAAGAAAGAAATGAACCAGAATGGTGTGAAAGTACTGGTTTGCTCCTAATCTTTCAGAAATAAATGGAATATATTCATTCAACACACATTAACTGAGTACCCACAGAATACCAGGCACTGTGGAAGGAAGGAACAGAGCATATGGTGATGCACAAAACTAAGATGGTCTGTGCCTTCAGGAGCTCATAGTCTAGCGAAGAGGCAGAAAGCAGAGGAGAAATAAATAGTTACAAATAATGATCAGTGTTTAAAAGAAACAAAGCAAGATGAAATGACTTTGTTGCTTCTTGATCATTTGAATATGTTCTATAACATATGGCTATGTCTTCTTTCAAGGCCCTTTGTGTAGATTGGACTCAAATATTTCTAAAATACTCAATGTTAGGAAATAGAATTTTCCTGGTGCAACTTGCAAAGACACGGCAAGCAATGAGAAATGCTTTGTTCTCTTGCTGTTCACTTCTGAAGGATCTGCTTCTTTCAGAACACTTGTCTTGCATGCTACTGCTGAGTGAGCCCCCTTCTGGTAGGGCTAGCAGTCCTAAGACCTTCCCCAGCCCAGCTTGCCATCATTCCCCCTTGCCCATTTTAGCACAGTGGTTCAGCTATGCCCACTTATTCAGTGCCTACTCTCCTCCCTCACCAAGAAGTGATGAGGATGGGATGGGAAAACCCCACAGATGGTGCCTGTGTTCCTCACTGGAAGGAGCCATGCAAATACAAGATCAGACCAAGAATGCTGACTCGATTTGTATTTTTCTAGGCAATTGGACATGACACTATTGGTTTCCTGAAACCATGCTTTGGAAATTAGTTACCATTTCTTCAAAATACAGAGAAGTTGAGGTGAAAGGAATCCACAGAGAAAAAGATAAATAAGGTTGACTTAAGAATTAGAGAGCAATTGTATTATTGAAGGCAGTTTCTCTAAGGCTACTGGATAGAATTATCCTATATATTTTAAAAAATAGGAATGTCTGGAGGGACTACAGACTTGTTTTCAGTAAGTTGCATGGGGCCTCTGTGTTTCATTTGAAAATTTCCACTTTGGTAAAAAGACAGAACTCTCTGTGGCCAGAATTGGATGTTTAGGTCTCAGTCTCTGGTTAGCCCCAATTCCCACATAAAATTTCTGGAACCAGTTACTGTACAGAGGACGGGGAAGATTAATAGAATGCTTCATCAGTCCTCTCTCTTACTTTATTTTGCATTTCCTGGAAATGCAATGAAAAAGATGCCCGCCTAGGAAGACAGGCTGTCTAACATTGCCTTTATCCCCTCTGCCAGCTGATAGTACTGAGTTCAAAAATATTTTTCTGTGTAAATTGCATAACCACTGAGGAGCATCTGCAAAATCCAGGACATGTGCATAGGTGTGTAATAACAACTAGCAGAGGCAGAATTCAAACCCAGAGCATGTGGAACAGAATACTATTTTTTGGCCAAAACCTTTAGCATTTACCAAATGCCCTCACCTATGCTATAGCCTTCGTGCAGTCCAAAGGTAGCCCTAAGGTGCTAATTTTTCATGTAAACTCAAGAGTATAGAGTTAGGAGATCACGAAAGTTAGAAGATCAAACAAAGCCTTCCTAAAGCCCTTGACTTTTCTTTCTTTGTGCTAAGACTAGCTTTTGTCCAAAGCTACTGAGAAGGCCATTTCTCAGATGATAAGTAACTTGACTATAGCATTCTACTGGTGCACGCTTCTTCATAAAGCACAAGAGGAGAATACACTTCCTCCAGCAAGTTTATTTTTTTATTATGCAATGCAGCCAACCCCATACTACTGGGCTTGCCCTCTGGTATGTAGAACCGTGAGTGACCCAGTGGGTTTCCATTTATGGAAAATTCATTAAAAGAGCCCACGCAAAGCTTGAAATAACTACTTGGTTTGGGAGTTCCTTTTGTGATCCCTCGTCATGATCTTTGCCGCAGAAAACTATTTGAGGACTATCCAGAGTTAGGTAAACTTCTGGTCAGTTGGGAAACCATGCCATTTTATAGTTCATCTTGGCCAAAAAAAAGAAAGAAAGAAACATTCAGGATATATATTATGGTGAGTTTCCTAAAGAGCTCTTGCAGTATGAATTATAAAGCTTATTTAAAGAAAAACAACTCCCCCCCTCCCGATATTTTATATCAGAGCCTCCTGCAGAATAGAATGGAACATTTTTAATGAGTTTATGAGATAAAGCAATGTTGTTGTGAGTACCTTTGGGCTACATCTATAGGAGTTTATTCATTCACTCATTCATTCTTTCACTCTTCATTCATTTGATAAATATGCATTGACTGCCTAAAAACACACACACAGAAAGAGCCATTTTTCCTATGGAGGTTAGTTTGTTTGATTTCCTACAGACTTAGAGTGTAGTGGCTCCTTTGTATTTTCCCCCATTCCTTAAATAACTCATTTATTCAGCACTTATTGAAACAATTACTATGCTTTAGAAATACTGCTAAGCAATGGAGTTGAATAAGTTAATGTTCCTGTTTCATAGGAACATTCATTTAAAAGCCCAACCTGAGGTTAAATACTCATAAATCACTGCAAAAACAATTGGTTGCAGAAGGAAAGAGAAAGAGAATCAAGAAAAGATTCAACAGAGAAACAGGTCATAAATGAGGAGGGGCTGATGTGAAACACTAGTAATGGAGGAAAGGAATGATAGATATGATCTGTTGGCCGGCTACATGGGGAAGAGGGACTAGAATGAGCAATAAGAACATGCCCACGAATTCTAACCATTAGGTATGTGGTATTGCCATTAATTAGTGACAGAAGAAGGAGGAGACAATTATGGAGAACGACAGTGGATTTAGTTTGGAACATCTTCCATCTATGAGACTCAAATGGATATATGTACTGGGAATTCAGGACATAAATGCAGCTAAGATCAGAGATTTTGGGGTTATAATCATGTAAACGAGTCTAGAGGCAAAGAGATCAGATGGCATTACCCAAGGATATTGTATACAAGCAAAAAGGACAAAAATGTTAACCCTTGGGACTCATAAATATTTGCAAGATGGGATTAAAAAAAAAGAGAATGTTAAAAAAAAAGTAGGGATATCACAGAGAGTTTCAAAAATGCTAAAGGGATAATCAGTAATCTAAAAAGTGCATGGCATGGCATAATTAGATCAATGTGAATCGCCAAAAACACTTTCAGTTTGGAACCTGCATCTAGACTATGTACCCCAGGGTTCCAAACCCAGTTAGACCCTGGGCCACTATCTTACCTCTAAAATGAGGATAATCCTTAGTTTACCTCTCCTTGTACAACTGTTATATTTTAGATGAGTAAAGGGACACAAGTAAACTTGATAAAGAATAAGGCCCCAGAAAAGTATGAGGCACTGTTATACATGCCAATTACACAGGATGTGAAAAATGGGAGACATTTTGAATCAGACACATTTCTGGAAGTATTTTCAAGTTTCTTGTCCAGTAAGAAGTAACACGCCTAAAATGTGGCTTAAGTTGATTTTCTGCCCTGTCCTTAACTGTCTCCAGGAAAAGCATCTCTGATGTGTTTTTAATATCAGCTTCAGTGTCTTCCCACCTGGTATCATTTTCTTGGTGTAGGTCATATGTTTCAAGGCAGTTCCATGGGTTTCCTCAGAGAGCCTCATACACCTTAAGTGCTTAGCACAGTGTCTTACACATAGCAAGTATTCATGATAGCTGATGTGATTTCATTCAGTTCAACAGATAGAGTGAATGAGTATCTACTATGTGTAATTAGGATCATTGATGATTATATAGATGCAGATAAATATCCACATTAAAGGATATGTGAGCAAGGACAAGCACAAAAACTGCAATTTTCTCATCTGTAAAACCATAGTGATGACAGTCAGTCTAAAGGATTGCACAAACTGTTCCATTTGTATTTAGCTTCCATTCCACAGGAGAATGTGTGAAAAAAGCAGGTTGTTCATTTGAGAGGTTTATCTGCTCCTGCCAGTTCCCGACCTGAGGGTTTACCACTGCTTAATACTTTCCACAACAGACAGTTGCTTGGCTGAGGATTATGCCTGTAGGTAGGAAGTAAGAGCAGATGAATTAAATCTGTTCATCTACACAAAACTGATTTGCTCCCAATAGCTTTCGCTAGGCAAACAGGGGAAAGAAAACACAAGCAATTATGATTTATTAGATGAATCACTGGGCCAAATTCT